TCTTTCTACCTGGTTTGTAGTTGAATACAATGAATTACAAATATTAAATCCGATGTATTCAATTACCCAATTAAATATCATATTCCATGGTCTAGGGAATATGTTAGAACATCTTTTACAGAATCTTCCGAATTTATATCAATTAAAATGCGATTTAAATGTTTATATAAATGGAAATGAATGGGAAGATATTATTAAAAAATCTTTACCAAAATTAAAAATGTTTCAAGTGAAAATGAGATATACACCATCGAATAATGAAAATAAAGAAAATCAATTAAATGAAATAGTTGATTCATATCGAACAAATTTTTGGATCAATGAACATCAATGGTTCATTCGATGTCATTGGTATACAATCGATCAAAATGAACAATTTAATTTTATCGATGTATTTACTGTCCCATATGCATTTGATAGTTTTTGGGAACATAATATTTGTCTTTTAGCAAAATCAACGGCTCTATATGATAAGAATTATTTACAATGTCCTTGTGTAAAAACATTAAATTATGGATCTTCATCTTTTACAGATCCGATTCGATCTCGTCTTCGTTTTAATAATCTTCAACATCTTTCAGTTTCATTGCCGTTTAATGAACGATTTTTCTTTATTGTTTCAAGATTTGATCGACTTAGATCACTTTTTGTATACACTGAAGAGAACAAAAATTTGAATAATATTCAATTTCAACTACAACTTATACTTGACCAAGCATCTCGCCTCTATTCACTCGAATTTAGTACATGGGCACGATCTGATTCTGAAGCACCACTTACAGGATTACGCAGTGATTCAGTTCGTCGACTAGATTTAATACGATTCTATTTTAATGGTCAAATTTATCATTTTGATGAAAAGGAATGTATTCAATTGAGTCATTCACCCTTAGGTATTCAATGCGAAGTTTTGCTTATTACGGTTAAAAATCGAAAAAATATTCTTCATCTTATTAATAATATGAAAAATCTTCGATCATTATATGTTCATTCTATAGATCATTATTGGCCTGAAAATGGTTCAGTATCATCTGCAATGGATGGGCTTGTTCAATGGTTGTATGAACAATTACCATCAAAATCCACAGTGACTAAATCTCAAACTGATAGTTTTGGAATTCATATATGGATTCGCTGAAATTTATCTCTAATTTACTCATTACATTTTCAACTTTCTATACATTTTTTTATTCCAGTTCTTTGTCATCTTTCTAATTCTTTTATTGATTATCAATAAACAAGATTTGTTTCAATTGAATAAAAAAATGATATGGCAGATGAGATGAATAAGAATTTTTTGGAGAAAAAAAAAAGATCAGTTTTCATTATCTTAAAATGGAAAATATTAACGAGAGAAAGAGTTATAGCAATATTGAGCATAATACATTGCAGTTTTACTACAAACTTTTCTTCAGTTACATGTAGGAACAAGAAAAAAAGATATAGCGGGAGAGAATATCATATTTTTCTCTTTATTAAATATGTCAAAATTATATTTCAATCAATAATACAGATTCTTTCGATTACTTGGTTAAACATCGTATTTCAAAGTAATTTAAATATATTAGAACGTTTTTTAGAAAACCTATCTAATTCATATCGATTAAAAATAAAATCATCTAATATTTATATGGGAGTGCGCAGTCTGACCGGAGGGTGGGTGTGGGTAAATGCGTATGCGTGAAGAGAACACCCATACCCACACCCACACCCACACCCTAGGTACTTTTTTATTTTTTTAGATGTTTTGTAAATAATTAAAATTTTCTTTATTAAAATACAATTTATTCTACTCATTTGTTCGAATAAACCAAATGCACAAGACGATTTGAGATTTTATTAGAAAAAAAATCGTTAAAAGAGCGAACTAAAATACTGTAGAGTGGGGTAATTGCAAACAAAAAATCACTCTTTTCATTTGCATCTATCATAACTCAGGCACTTTTTTCTATTTTTCCTTTAAACATGTAAAGAGACATCTCCTCTAGAAGCTCGTCTAAAAATCATCAAGAATCGATTGCTCAAAATCCTTCAATTAGTGTTATTCTGGTAGTTCCTACAAATTGTTTGCATTGACATCACTTGGAGCCATTGCAAACTCCGAGGCATTTTAGATAGAACTAGTAATTCTCTACAGCCGATGAGAATCTTACTGTAAACTCTTTAAGTAATAGAAACAGTAAATTGAAAAAATACTAAAATTTTTTGCAATTATCCCACTTGGAGTAATTGTATACACCAAGAGAAATCAGTGAGACAATTGAAAATACATATGTAAAATGCCTATCTG